TGAATTTCTCCTTAGGGGGATAAACAAAGGAATTATCTTATCTTTGTTTTTATATGCCTAATTTTAAATAAAGAATGTTAAAAAAAAATGTAGTAAATGTGACTTTTTTTGCTCTTGAAAATGATAAACTTTACCTTAAAGTGTTTTAAAAAGTGAAATTTCATCTGTGCTGTATGTCGTGCATTTATAGCACATTTGACAAATAAAGCTGACTTTTTCTTAATATATTTAAGGGTACACATAGAAGTGAGTGTTTTCACATTTATATTTGAGTAAATGTGACTTATTTTGCTCTTAAAAATGCTAAACTTTACCTTTAAAACGAGCATTTTTAACTTTACTTTAAGGACTTGACTTTCCTGAAAAACAAAGATCTTATAGCCGCATCAAAACAGACCCCAACGTCACCACCCCTCGGCCCGCCGATTGGCTCAAGCGGACGCCACAGGGTTGCCGCTGATTGGTTTAGAAACCCGAGCGCTCCGAGGATCGACCAATCGCGTTGCAGCGCGAGCCGGGTATATAAGCGCCGAGGTAAACAAAGGAGCGGACAGTTGAACGGCAGCGACCCAGCCGAGGGCGAGCTCTACTGGATGTTCTTGTCTCGACGAACGCGTCCGGATCACAGGCTGACCGTGGGGAACAAGCCACTCTGAAGCGAATGAAGAAACAACTTATCTTTCACTTCACATACAGAGGACTTCTAACGAGAGGAAAAAAGAGTAAAAGAAGAAAATGGAGTATAAGTTACGAAAGGCTGAACCCAGGGACGTGTCTGATATATTACGACTGGTGAAGGTAAGCTAGGCCCGCGCCACCAGAACCAGGACGCTGCTCGGAAACAACACGAATAAAAAAATAAACGATTATTAATCGATAGGAATTAAACATAAAGCGGGTGAGTTTCGGTTAGCGGTTAGCGAGCGAGCTAACCGTTGTCTCAACCTTTGCGTGAACTCTTAACTAACTTAACTCCCGACCGTGTAAAACGACTAAACGTTATTTAAACGGTGGATCGGATGAATTACACCGGTTATTGTTGTTGCTGTTGAGCCGTCGGCAGGTGGGAAACGTCCGCAGAGTGAGATTAATGTCGGTGGCTTTTTGTTTACGGACAGACGACTCACATCCGGTGTGACCGCCGGGTGACCAAATATGGTCAGTCTGACGTCCGGCTTATGTTATCAGCGCTGACCCTGAAATAATGTTATTGTTCTTTAAATATATATAACTCCTGACATTAATGACACAACCAGGGCTGCAAATAAGCAGTATTACAGTATATAGAATATAATAGAATAGTTTTTAATAATTATTTAGTCTGTTAGAGCTTTATTTTAGCTTTTAAAGGCGCTGATGAATGACCTTTTAAGGAATAATACGCTCTTAAATCATACAGGAGTCTGCTCCAGTATTGGTTAATACACATATATCAGCATGTAGTTGTTGTATTTAAGTCCTCACATGAACTCCTCTATTATTAATGTATGTATGACAAATGTTAGCACTGTTAAAGTTTATTTTCCAAGTGTAAAATGTCACATTTATTGTTTTATATTAAATGACCAATGCCAGCCTGTGTCTTGTCATTGGGTGTGTATTTGTTTTGGCTTCAATTGGTGTCAAACCTCTTCTCTACTCTGAATATAACCCGTTACTACTTCTGTGTTTGTCTTCCCAGGAACTTGCAAAATACGAAGAGATGGAGAACCAGGTGACACTGACTGAAAAAGGTGAGCTTTAAATCGCCCTCCGGCTGCCTGTAAACGCACATTACATTCCTTCTGTGTCTCGTATTTACATGTTATCTCCTCCCTTGCAGAGCTCCTTGAGGATGGATTCGGTGACACCCCGTTTTACCATTGCATCATCGCTGAAATCCAAGGAGAGAACAGCAGTGACGGTGCGAACCAGCCCGACATCCGTAGAACGACTCAAGTTCCTTCACCAGGAACCGTTTGAGCAACAGTTTAAAGTCCCAGCAGACGCTCAGAGTGGCAGTTATGTTTCCGTACCGCTGCCAGCTCCTTTTGTCTTTGACTTAAAAATAGATATTTAGTTTGTGTAACGATCTCCTCCCTCAGCATGCGTTGGTGGCGGCGTTGCTTCCCACCGTCTGCTCAGACCGACCGTGTTTACATCGACCGTACACAGTTCCTGTTTTCTGTCAAATAAATATAGGTGTTATAATAACGGAAGCCCTGTTTGTTGGGACGCCCAGCTGCTGCCTGTCTGCACGTGTTCACTCTTTTTACAAACGCGCTCAGATCTAATGGCCACGCCGTGTTTAACTTAGTAACACGACGTATGGCTGCAAACTGCATCAGGGAATCTCATTTAACTCAGAGACTTGTTGAAAGTTAGAGGATTATTTGTTTACTTACAGTCAGCTGTTCCTGACTAAACTTGTGTCCAGAGTTGACAGAAAGGTTTGTACTTAAAACAATAACGAGTTCAAACGGCACAAGAAGTAGGAAAGTAAGTATTTAGAATGAAATGTAGGAAATAAGCACATTAAAATACCTTAATACTTACATTAATTAATAAATATCTGTACATGCGTCTGTGCAGAAGGAGTCTGAAACCCTTATTGAGGTTGTGTGGAGTCACATAAAGCTAAACACAGGTCGTTATAGTGCACGTACATATATACTAATACACTATATGCACCATAACAAACACATTATAGTAAAATATATAAATGTATAACACAGCAGGACGCTCACACCGTCTCATTGTCTAACTCTCCAGGCCTGAAGGTGGTCGGCTTTGCCATGTACTACTTCACCTATGACCCCTGGGTTGGTAAACAGCTGTACCTGGAGGACTTCTACGTGATGGAGCAGTACAGAGGTCAGAATCTGGTCCGGTCCACATTTAACTGCTTCGTGGTTGCTTCTGTTGTTAATGAGCTCTGCGGTCTCTTTCCAGGGCTGGGCATCGGTTCGGAGCTCCTGCGGCATCTCAGTAATGTGAGTGTGTTTACTGGAGGGAGGGGGGGGGGG